TAGCATCCAGACTGCTATTTTTTAGCAGGGGCCTGATGACTGCAGTTTTCAGGGCCTTTGGGAATATTCTAGAATGAAGGGACATGTTTACTATCTGTGTGAGTGAAGGTAACAGACTGCTCAGAACAGCTAGCGGGTAGTACATCCAGGCTGCATGTGGAGGAGCTCAGACTGGAGATTATCTCTTGGACAGTTTGACCATTTACAGGTGCAAAGTGAGTTAGCTCAGAGAGCCTTTTTGGCTGTTGGATTGTTATCTGTGGATTGGAGACAATGGCGTTTTTGATGCCTTGAACCTTGTCATTGAAAAAATTTGCAAACTTATTGCATTTACGTTTGGAAGTTTGCTCTAATGGCATTTGAACAGGGGGGTTCGTTAATCTATTAACTGTTGAGAACAGAACACGCAGATTGTTGCTGCAGCCTTCAATCATTTCAGAAAAATACCCTTCTCTCGTACTACGTAGCACCCGGTTAAACTCGCACAATTTATAAACTTCAAAGATATACTGTACTGTACTGATTCAACCTGGAGGTTGAATCAGTATATTTCTGATTACCGCTTGTTGTTGCATTGGGCGGAGCATTATGTTTATATGCAAAAGAGCCGTTATTTCTCTAAAACAGTGAATTCAATGCAGATTTTGATAATCAAGACTGAGTAAAGTTGAGATCCAAAAAATATCATTTGTTTTGTTTGGTTTTCAAAATTAACAAGCTAAAATGCCCTTTAAACTGGATTTTTGCATTTTAGACAAAACCATAAGTATAATTTATGTTGGTTATCCAGAAGGTATAAGGCACCACCAAACAAATCCAAATCAACCTGTGTATGCATCAAAGAGTTTCTGCATGTGACAGGTGGCCAGTGTGTGAAACAGATCTGGGTCAATGACCAAACGGTCTTTCTCTTCAACAGTCTCTCTCGTGTAGGATCCCAGGGTGACCTAAAGCTTGTGAATGGGACATAAAGAGTGAAGCTGGATGCTCTGCATGGGACACAAATGAATGGACAGATTAATCAGATTATAGCAGGCACACTTAAACAGCCCGTTTTCTGAATTGGATACGGATCTGCCCATTCCCTGTTTCAACCATGTGTGACGAGCCACTATGAACATGTTTGAATTAGCCTTGCCCAATTGGTTAGTTTGTATTGTACTTGATATTGCTGCATGGTAAAAATTGAAAAAATAAATCCAATTGAGAACTATAGTTTTGACAATAAAGACATTCACATTATACTACAACCCACACATTAGTTAGGAGCTAGGGAGGAAATAAGCAACCATCATTCAGCCAATTTAAGCTCTACATGTTAATGTCATAGCTGAACTAGGTGAATCTGTTGCAAACCACATACATTGGGTTGTAACAGAGTCAACTTTCTGGCTTTTACTGACTATGTAACAACATCAATGATAAATGCAAAGTAAATGCAAACAAATAAAACATTACATTTATAAATCTTTCAATTTAATTGATAGAATAGTTTTTCTTGAAAATATTATCTTAGAATGTTCTCCAGCAGTTTCACTTAAACTTTTCGGCATCAAATTTAGAAGGAAACACACATATTCATGTTCAACACAAGTAATAAATTAATTAAAGATATAATTGATAGATTAATCAATTATCAAGATAATTGTTAGTTGCAGCCCTAGTTAGATATAGTTTTTAGCAAGGCAACGGCCAAAAGTTGTGCACAAGGCATGATATTGTTTTCTTTTACATTATAAAAAAAATATAAAAGAAAAAAGACTTTCAATTCTGGTTATGAGATTATTTCACATTTTGTTTTGTAACAGGTCCGATTCTATATGGATTTAGTAATCAAAACATCTACATTTTCTTTTTATAGAACCTTTCAGAGTGGATATGGACTAGGTCCACATGCCTCTGCAATAATAGTAACGGTATATTAGTTTTGCTTCACATGAGATATGTTATTTTTAGATGCGATTTGTTTATCTGTAACTATGTCTGTGGCTGCTCCTGGCTCTTTGCTTCCCTGACTGTTGCTCTAGCAGTATTAAGATATTTGATTACAAAATATGACACAGCAGCAGCACTATTGCGTAGAAAAGGCAAAGGAAGTGATGAGCCATATTTCCTGCAAGATATCAGATCTCTAATGTGTAACTCAAGGATTTATATTCCCTATTTTTGTTGGGTAAATCAGAGCATTATTACAAACAGATATAAAATATTTCTCACTACAGTTGATATAATAGATTTCAAATACCAATTTACTTTGATAAACAAGTCAAAATGTAGGTTCCCCTACAATGTAGGAACTCCCCACAAGAAGTTCAAAGATCCGTTCTTTGCAGTGTGAGTGTATGGGAGCCTCTGCTTTGTTTGACTGTTGACACCAGTGCAATGTCGAGAGGGAGGATGCGAGTCAGAGTGTTCAGGCCGGAGGACAGCCTAACTGCAACAAAGGGCCAGCTTTGAGCCTGTCTCCTGTGATTTTCCAACTCAGCGAAAAGCCATTGTGGCTCTGGAAAAAAAGTTAAGTTGAAAGCTTAGCATGGTATGTGCTAACAACTGCCTAGCGCTTGTGTAATACAACAAATACTTTTTGAGCAGTCAGAGTTGCAGTCTTTGGACGGGCTAACGGTCCCCATGCCCCCAGCCATTAGACCAGCCCTGCATGAGTGCGCTGGCGTGTGAAGTCACTGACAGGCACGTGGATGGCAGAGCGTGGGGCAGGGGCATCTGAAGGTCAATTTAGCTCTCACTGTAATAATGAGGTCGAATTTATCACAATTATGAGGCCATCTACACAAAAGGTCACTGTGCTGCAGATTGTATACTAAGTTAGAAATGTTACCCCTATGACCTATTGACAGAAAAACCCTTTTCAAGAACTTGTGATGGACTAGTTGGACAGAATCATTAGGGAAAAAGAGAAATGTTTATTGCCTTATATTGTTAATACTAATCTAATAGGATGTTCTCAAGTGTCACTAGCTTTTTCTGTGAAAAATGTAGCATTACTAGATTATTAAAATAATTGTTACTTTCAACCAACAATTATAACTCACTTGCAAAAATAATACATTTTAGTCAATCTATCAACAAAGGATTGCGCCAATGTCCAGTCAAAGGTCTCAGTTGTGATTTAAAAACTATAATTTTTAAATGTATTTCTTCTCATATTAACTAAAATAGTAACAATTCATATTATGACATTCAGCGTTGTATATTTTGCACAGAATGATCCTTGCTAAAGTGAGAAAGATATTATGGGAGCTAATTTTACCATCAACCATGTACTTTATTTAGGACCAGATTTATTTCTTTGATGACTACTTCTACACTACTAGTGGTCTCCTCAAGACACACACACACCCACACGTACACACACACACACACACACACACACACACACACACACACACAAAACACGCACAAGGGGCCACTGGGACTATATCCAGACTGGTGGTTTTACTCTGTCTATAAATACCCCAGTGCTTAAAACAAGATCTGTGTGAAAGAAAACACAAATTAAGGCTGTCTGATATGACATAGACAAGCCAATGGAAAAACACACATTGTGACCAGAAACTAATGTATACAGTAGATTTGCACAGTTTGCACCACGAATATTGACTGATTATCACTCCATCTCGCTTATACAAAGAGATTGGGTTGACCTCAGAGCAGCTCAGCTAAGTGCTCTGTGATTATGGGGTGTGTCTTTGTCTCATTTAGTGGTTCCATGAGGAGACAGTCTTCTGCTGTGTCAGGCGAACACACAGAGTCAAATGCACATTGACAACAAAGCCGCTCTGATTGCTATCACAGAGGACCCAAGTCATCTAGTCAATACAAACAGACAAGTAAAGTCAAGCAAGTGAATAATTATGTTGCTAGAAGTGAAGCATTTTTTCCACAAAAAAGTATTATTCATTTTGTCTTTTATTTTGGAAAAATATTGCGCTTTTCCAGTAATAAAAAGGACAGGCTCTGTACATAAGACATCTTTTAAATACAACAGTCACAGTGGTCTCAAGTGCCTAACACATACATCCATACTTGCATACATACAATATCTGCCAATAACAAGTCAACTTAAATTAAAACAAAAGAAAAATCACATGTGAACCAAAATAATTACAATAATTAAATAAAAAATACATCTTTTATTAGATAAAAATAAAATTAAATGGGAAACGAATAATCTATCCAACAGTGGGCTGGTGAAGCATCTTAAAATTGAAGACACAACGTGGATGGGTTAGGCAGTGCATACAGACACACATTCACCCACACACTTGCATCACTCACACTCTATAGTGCAATGAGGTTTTGGCAGGTAAGACTGATGTAGCTTGGCATCAAAAGTGGCAATAGAAGAACATATCAGATTTTTAGTACAGGAAATATGACCTGTCCAAAACATTGCCCTGTGTATCAGCCTTCAGGGGTCTGAGGCCAGTATGGCCCAACAGGATCCATCTCGGATCAGTCTGCAGTCACTACTGGAGTCTTAAATCAATATTTCTGCTGAGAACCAGCTCAGCTCACACATGGTCTGAGAGTGCTACAGAGAGACAGCTGAATGAAAAAGTCTGATTTATAATTATTTGTTTCAGCTTCAACTCTGCCCCACAACACAGATTACATTAGCTTACAGATATTCATCTTGTACCAACTATCGCTTAACAGGACAACAAAAAAGCTCTCAGTACTCCAAAGGTACTACACTTTATTCAGTACACTGCGGTACTCAAACTTCATCAGTTGGCATATGGTCCATCTGCTGTAGACTCAGTCCTTGAGTTCAACAGTATTTGTCCAAAATGTCCAAATGTACATCCATCCATGTGATGTGATCTGCAATACTAGCGTAGTAGGCTCAAAGTCCTCCGGTAAATCCCAGGGAACAGCAGCAAACAGCAGGAGTAAAACCTCCTGGAGACAAACTGAGCTCTACTGCTCAGGGTCTGGTCTGGACCACCATCCAGAGAAGTGTCCCATGTGAAGAAGCATCATACCTGAAGAAAACAAAGAGAGCACTTTTAAGTCTAATATTGTAGATGGCAAAGACAACTGTATACTTAGTATGACATCTTTAGCTCTACAATTGCTGACTTAAACTCACCTCTGTAGCAATTATACATTCATCTTTCTGATCTGAAAGCACATAGACAGACTGGTATCTGCTGTCGCACTGATAGTCCGTGTCACAACAGCTCTTCATATCGCTTGTTGATTGGGTCTTTGAATCGCTGAGTAACGCATGTCCATTCAAATCACACGAAGATGTGTATTTTGAATTGCTGCAGCTTGGCATGTCCTCAGCCATCTTCTCCTCTGATGCATTACTGGAAAACAGAATAATGCACATTTACTAGCGGAAAATCATATATAATAACAACTTTCAAGCGATTGAATCTCAAAGCAAAATCTTATCTATGCACTCTGTATACCTGTAGCTTTTCTTGTATGTTTCCTCTGAATCGGATTCATCCAGCACTTCACATTTGACTTCTGGTTCATATCTCTCTTCCTCTTTGCACAGGGACATCTCGTCAGCACGGAGCTCATGAACCAGGTTGTACTCTACACCAGAATACCGAGCCTTGAAACCATTCTTTTCTGGTCCACCAAGTCCATTCAAGCTGCCAATGCCACTCAAACCACCAACTGAACCTCCCAGCTCTGAGTGATAGTCTGCTTTTTTATTTGTGTTTTTTACTGAGGTGCTCATCATGCCACCCACTTCCTTGTCACCACGGAGACAGTTGTTGGTGGTGGTGAGATTGTTCATAGTCTCATGGCTGTCACTGTGCACGCTATCCCCTTGGTGACTGTGGCGGTCCTGTAGTTTTATCCGTACAAACACCACCAGTATGGAGCAGCCAATCAACAGGACAAGAACAAGGAAAACTCCAGCGCATACAGCTGCCCAGGGGAACCCGGCCTCATCCTCCTCACTGTCCTCATTGAGGCTCTCTGAATATATGCGATCCGGACCTTCCACTACAGGCTGTCCTCTGGGAACCTCAGGCAGTAGAAACTGGCAGTTGTGCCCTCCATATCCAGGCACACAGGCGCACACATAGCGGCCTCCACGCTCATGGCAGGTGGCTCCATTGTGGCAAGGGTTATGATGACACCGAGAGATAGGGGAGCTGCAGTTTTGTCCAGTGTAACCTATACATTGAGAATAATTGTTAATGTCAAGAACAGAAAAAGCGTTTCCACAATTTGTGCAATTCCTGTTTTTGCATTGTACCTGGCGGGCAGGTGCAAGTGTAACCGGTCTTGTCCTCCTGACATGTGCCACCATTTTGACATGGGAAATACTGGCAGTGTTCGCTGGCAGAGTTGGTGCTTTCACAGTTCGAGCCATAAAAGCCCTCAAGACACTGACAGAGATAGGAGTTCACAAGGTCTACACATTCTGCACCTAAAAAGTTACAAGAAAAATATATGTTAGACATTGAAACTGAAACTGAAGTGAGAAGAGGCTTCAGGAACAATCACAAACCATGTAGACAGGGGTTGGAGGAGCAGTGGTCGATCTTCTTCTCACAGTTGAATCCTGCATATCCCATTGGACACTGGCAGAAGTAGCCTCCCTCTGGATTGTCTGCGCAGCGCCCACTATTAAAACAAGGGCCATCGGCACAAGTGTTTGCACTCAGCTCACAGTTGTTTCCGTAGAAACCAGGTGGGCATGTGCACTTGTAGCCATTGTCATTGTCCTGTAGAGCATATAGTAATGCCATTTAGATCTACTTTTTGTTTCAGTTTTAAATTTCTCTCCTTTGTGGCTGATACTCACAGTGCAGCTGCCTCCATTACGACAAGGGTTTCCAGAGCATTCATTGACCTCAGTTTCACAACTGGCACCGGTGAAACCAGGCAGACAGGAGCAGGTGTAGCTGCCCTGTCCCGTGTTAGTGCAGGTCGCTCCATTCAGGCACGGTTTGTGGTGGGTGCAGTAATTCAGATCTGACCATAACAATAACGGGTATAAGAACCAGAGTATTGTAATGTTTTGATGATGTTGATATTCTTTTCAGAGAATTGAGCTCACCTTGGTTACAAAAAAGTCCGCCCCATCCTTCTTGACAATTGCACTGCCATGGCTGCTGGCAGGTCCCATGCAAACAGCCAGGATATCTGATGCAGTCATCACAGTAGCGACCACTGAAGCCCACGCGACACCTGGGACATAGGTGAGTACGGTTAGTTAAAGTTTTATAAGAAGTTGAATTTATTTGAATGGTTACTTTTCAAACTTACTTGCATTCTCCTGGTTTATCACAGAAGCCATGTTCATCATCACACCCAGGCAGACAGATTGCTATGGAGATAAAATGACAACATTAGAATTCTGAAGACTTTACATTTGCTCTAACTTTTTCCAGGTCCTGTATTGTGGCCATTACTACTGCCCTCATAATCGTGTGGGACACCAGCCAACACACTTTTCTTCTAGCACGGTTGTCCCCTCACACAAAAGCATGTCACACAAAGCAGCCTTTCTCCGCTTAACTGTGGGTCAGACGTCCTGTTTCTCACCCTTGGCCCTCTCATGTGCCCCCTCCCTCTATGGTCCTATCCTCTTCCAACTATACCATCCACCTATCTGTCCTCTGTTCTTCACCTCGCCCCCGGTCCACTCACTCTCCTCCCTCCTCGTCCCCCAAGGCCAGCTGGCCTGTGTGGAGCTAACCACCAGACAGCTGCTCTATTGTCTCCTCTCACCGAGCAGCTGCCCCCTCCACAACAATACACCATCCCTCTTGGCCAATCAACAGCCTCAGTGGCAACAATACAGGACCCCCACTTGGCCAATCGGGGAGGAGGTTTGGGGCTATGAGGCCCCAGTGGTCTAATGGAAGGCACGCGGCGTGTGAATTACTGAGGAGCCAGGAGGCCTCTGGTGCTATGGGATAACTAAGTAACGCCTGTTGCACACAGGCCCACATTAGGTGGTGGAAAAGTCCCCTAACAATAAAGACGGGCCAATCAATGTTGGTAAAATTAACCTTGAAGCCTCATTTAATAAGTCTGTAAATATTTAAAATTTCCCCTTCTGCCAACATCAGTTATAATAAGCACAATGTCATTGCTGGGTCATAATTCAACAAATTTGACTCCTTTTTCAAATATCCATCACATGGGTCCCTTGCACATGTGATTTTTTTTTTTTCTAATATGAGGGTTATGTTTAGATATCAAAACCCACTTACGTTCAGTGCAATAGTGGCCTTTCCAACCAGAATTGCAAATAATTTCTCCCCGTTCGCCACAGGTGAAGTGTCCAAAGGCATCGTCCCTGGGGCGGCAGAAGACTGAACATCCTTCTCCGTAATAATGCTCATCACACAAGAAGCGATAAGAGTAGCGCAGCTCTGTCCTGCCTGATGTCTGCATGTCTTTGGACCATTCCTCTCCGACGGTCAGGTGGCGCTGTGTGGTAATCCTGCTTATCAGACGCTCTGGGTTTTCTGCAAAACAGTCCAGAATCACTATTAGCCTGAATCACAGTTAAGCTGCTGTTTGCTTTTGACAGAACAGCTGCAACACTGGCAAGTTATGGATAGTCCATTGCCCATAGTTATTTTTAGTTCATATCAAATCAGTAACATGTTTGACCAGAGCCTGTCTTTAATCTGTCTATTGTAACATTTTATAGCAGGCTTCTGTTGATGTATATTGCTTTGTATTGAAGAAAAACACATGGCACAAAGTCTACCTTGCACCACTTTTAATGTGTTGGTCACCAACCTGTTGTTAGGTCTTCCAGTGAGTCCGTGTGCAAAGCCTCGATGATCAGTGAAAACGTTCCCTGAGGAGAGAGAGGGAGAGAGAGTCAACAGCTGCTCTGCCTGTACCACAGGGCTATTAGAGGCCTCTCAATAAAGTTCACAGCCTAATTCCCATGTTGATTAGGGGCCTTATAAGAGCTACTACCTGCTCCCTTTTCACACCCCTGCTACTATCACACTCTGACACTGCCGTAAAACCAAACAAGGCGGAATTTCACGCTGTGCTGCCAATGATGTGCCAACTCTGAGGATGTTAAATTTCCCACCAAGCCTGGTCGGAGAAGATGCGTGTTTGAATGCACCCCCACCCATCCGACTCCCTCTATGCCCCCTGCCCTCCCCGTTTTATGCGACCAAAAGCACAGACGTATGCCTACTACAATAGCCCCTCTCACTCCGCTGACAAAGACCTTCACAAGTGTTGGGTTTTAAGCATCTGTTGCATGTTTCACTCAGTCTGCAAAGAAGCCCATGCCTACAGACAGTAATAACTCTCCTGAACTGCGTGGCAATGTGTATATTTGTATGTAATGCATTTTATAGTTTTCTTCAGTGGAACTTACCGGCCACGTAAAACCGAAATTGAACCGAATCGGGTTGGTAAATGTGTCAGCGTTGGTCTCGGGAACTTGAAAGGAGTTGGATCCCAGCACTGGAGTGACTGCCCCGCCGTATGTGCAGGGGGGCTCGGGAGACACATTGGCTTGGTAATGCTTGAGACAAATCCTAAAGAAAGTCTTGCATTCACACTGATGATGGCTTTGAGTTTGAGCGCCACCAGGACAGCAGTTGGCGTTTCCCGGTATCCCCTTCTTGTTAAGAAACTCCTGCAGTTTTAGCTCAAAAACACCTGAGCACATAACCTGAAAGGACAATATTGCACTCATATCAGCTGAGTCCAAATCATTTTGCAGTCAGATAAAATGGTTATTAGTCCATAAACACTGCATGCATGCGAGAATGTGTTTTTTGCGTTAAATCCACTGGATGTTTACGCGTTTCTTGGGCTTACCTGGCAGGTGAGGATGGAGAGCGTGACAACCAGGAGCAGATACTGGCGTCCCATTGTGTTGACAGCTCTAGGAACAAGCGGGGAACGCTCCACTGGTCAGTCCGTCAGTCCCAGTCAAACCAGCATGGAGAAAAACCTTGATTTCCGCCGTGAGCCAGTCAGATGTTGACAAAATGTAAACTTCCTCCCCTCTACTTTCCCATGCAGGCCCCCGACAGGCAAAAAGTAATCCTTAAAAATGAAGGATCCACAATAAAGAAAGAAAAAACTCTGGTAAAGTAAATCCAACTGGGCACCTGTTGATGGTCAAAGAGTTTCAAGGTGATGTTGTCGCCGTTTATTTGCCACTTGCCAATGACAAACACAGTCTTAGTTTTTCTGTCTCTTGAGTTTGTGTGTGTCTGAAGGGCCGACAGTCCGTTCAGGGTTTTATACCAGGACAGCAGGCAGAGGGTAATAAGATGCAAATGAGCCCCTCTGCTCCTCTTCTTCCCTCCCACACCACCACCACAAGTCCGCCCCGGGGCATGACAATGAGGAGGGGGAGCGCACAACTTTTCTACCCCCTCTCTGCACTTCTCTCAAAGGACAGACCAAATGGCTCGTGAGCTGTTAAATGTGCAATACCCCCGATGCCACATTCGGGTACAGCCAAAAGTAGAGTTCATAGATATGTAGGGAACTTTTCTACTGAAACACACCATTCTTACTGAAATGCACCATTCCGTCAGGCATCAAATAGCTGCGTACGACTGAAACCATATTTACAAGGGTAAATTGGTGCACATATTGCGTCCCAACTGCGATACAACAACCACCATCTGCTTCACCGCATTCCTATGGTGTTTCCCTGCTGTAGATGTTCACACCCCCATTCCAAATGACTCGATCTGTTCTCCTTTCTCATTTCTATTCATACATGAAAACTACACATTTAACCTCTGTGAGTAATGTGCGAGGCGTAATCATAATTGCAAGTGTAATTTCATATTTTTACAATATTCGTAGCTTGCAGGTGGCTCCATTAATTAAAGTAGTGTTTATGACTAACTACAATATCAAGTCATGGTCTTGCTTATTGGAGAAACAGAGCGAAGTCCAAGAATGCGCACAGGGGTGACCTGAATGAGCATCATAAACGGTTTCCTTGCATGATTGCGTATTTCCCGTATTTGCCTTTGGTATGGGCAGTAAAAAAAGACTCGGTGTGTGTCGCTCGCGTGGCTGTCATTAAGGGACTCTGTGTGGAGAGGGAGAGGAGGGGGCAGGCAGTAGGCCTAGAGTTTTTTTCTTTGTGCTTTCAGCTGTATGGTAATTGGTCCAGCAGCACCTGCTCTCCCACAAGAATACAGCACCAGAGGCAGAGGGATGTGGTCACTTCTATTAGGGTAATCTTTATCTTTATGATGAGATAGCTATATGTCCTGTGAGCCCTTTCAAAAAACTTTGAGATGCGTGGCTATGTTTTTTCCCCTGAGGTCCGTTTGTTCATCTGCATACGTGTTGTTGAAATGTGCCGAAGTAATTCACTCTTGTTGACATAATGTTTTTTTTTTTTTACTGTGAAAGCAAATCACTCTATCACTATTTTCGCAGAAGTTTGTCAAACTTTCTCTACCATTGCTTGTGGCAATACCAAGCTCCTTTGTACATTAAAATATTTTCTGAATTTTATTCCACATTTGAACTTCGGCTTAGTTTCAAGCTTAGTTAAGAGCTTGAAAAGTCATGTTTTATACTTCCCTCAGATGGTGGTTCTTGGAAGATCATATTTAGTTCTTGTATACCGCAGTCTTTGATGCTATATGTCATAAGCCACATTTTTAATTATTGCTACACTTTTGAACAGGTGATTTCCTCTGTTTAGATGCAATTTATGATTATTGGTATAGTACATGGATGGTGGGTGACTTTCAACTTTTGTTCTGCCCTATGCAAGACACTTGACCCAGATGACCTATTATGCGTTTAGCTTGTGAGTAAATTATCCAATAGTAATTTGTTGGAGAGGCCGATGGCACAGATTCACAGCCTTGCTTCTGTCTGTCTGCCTAGGGCAGCTGTGGCTACACAGTGGCCTATCACCACTGTGTGTGATTGAAATTAATAAATAACAGTAAGGTGCTTTGGGTTTAATTAATGATGAATCTATTTTCTTCTGCTTTATCTGTTGCCTGGTCGAGGAGACAGCAGTCAGAGCAGAGACTTCCATTTCTAACAACACAAGACTTGACTTGATTGAAATTCTATAGGTAAACCAGCGCGTTACTGGAAGCTGTTGCTTCCATCTGAAGTTTAATGAGCTGCCGAATTTGATTTCAATCTGATTGAAAGGCTTATAACCTTGGACTTAAAAACCATTATCTCTGCCTGCCAGGCTCTTCATACAAAGCGTAAGTTTACAGCTATAGGACGCTGCACAGTCAGAACTTTTTGTTGCACATGTTGAACTTGATTGTGAACAAGCCACTACGTGCATGTGGCGTGGCGTAAAATCTAGCTTGAAGCCATTTATTTACACTCATCTCGACTTTCATTGGTCCTTGTGCCCTTTCACGTGCTCGTAGAATTAGGCATATAGCTACCATCAGTCATTCATCACCATGACATGGCACACATTTGCCGATTACGCGAGCAAAGCGTGACTGAAAAGCTTGGTGCGCTAGAAAGAGGTCCCTCCTCTTCAGCATCATCATTTTGTTTCAAACACAATTTATGCCAGAAGATGATGCACCAGCACCAATTGCATCTTCAGGAGTCTACTCGACTCAGCTCCTCCCAGCTTCTGTGCGCGTGTGCGTGTGTGAGGTTAAAATTGTTTAACTGGAGGTCGATTGTTTAACTGAAGTGCTCTACCTCTGTCACTGTGCGCGCGCGTGCTGCCCTTAGCGTGCGCGCGCTTATGAGCTCCGTGACGCGCAGGCCACAAAGGAAGGGGTCTTGCGCCCCGCCGCCCATTCATCCCTTTCTCTCGTGAAGTAATTCCTATTGATTCTTATTGAACGGCGACTCACGAGCCCCTCGGGGGAAAGCCTTGTGATTTGTGAAGGGTCGCGAGGACAAGACACACCCCTTTCCAGGCCCTGGCCATCTGCTCACCAAACACCACAACACCATCCAACTCTCTCAAAAAATTCCCCTACCTACTCTTGAGCAGGTTGATCCTGCGTGTCTCCCCAGAACAGCTTGTTTCAAAGATAATATTTATCATTAAAACTTGACCAAATTCCTTTGTGTTGTAGGGGTATGCATATAGGTGCTGCTTGGTCCCCAGGGTATATACGCACAGTAGAGGCATGCGACGTTAGAGATGACCATATGGCCATTGTGTGTATTTGTGCGTGTGCTTGCGTGCGCGTGTATGTGTGTGTGTGTATGTGTGCCTAGAAATGGATGGATGGCCGTCGTGGGAACCTCCACATACCCAGCATCACATCAGCCACACTCGCCTTTAAAAGTGTCCAGCCTTCTGGTCATAGTTAGAAATCAAAGTGCACTGCTAGGAACTATGGAAGCATGCGCCTGGGTAATTTATATATAACAACTTACTAGAGTCGACTATAGGTTTCCATGTGTGTTTTACCTTTTTAATGAACATGGTAATCATTAAATAGAAAACAAATATTATTTTGTTAATAATAAACTCCTCGTGTGAGTATCAAATGCCTTGGACTGTTTATCATCCAGGATCCAGGTCGTATCAATGTGCAACGCAAGATGTATGCACCTGAATATCTCACGCAAAATTATAGTAAATGACTATGTAGAACACTTTTACATAATGTAAATGTTCCATACACTGTATATTTTTGGGGGAGAATAAGTTCTGCTGTCTTATAAAATCCCTGCCCCTGTGCCCCCTGGGGTCCTTGGCCTTTAGTTTGAGAAGCAGTGGCCTCCAGCAGAAGGATTAGCCCGGCCAGCTGCCCAGAGACTCTGCACTCTGGACGCTGACACAGGCCTGACCCCTGTGTGCCTGCGATCAGGAGGACCAAGGGGATTTGGTCGGCACTGTGTGAGTGTTCATTCAGTTGGACAACTGTTGAGCCGGTCGAGATGTGGGCAGCGGTGTGCTTTGTATGTGTATGTGCGTGCTTGTGTGGTCAATTCTTTCCGGGGGTTAACTGCAGATCCAGTACAAATGGGAGGTGTTGGGGGCAGGGCCATCGTGTGCTCCTAGAACATCTGCCACAGTTTCTCCTGAGTCAAGCTTTACTAGACAAGGGAGGAGGCAGCTCAGAAAGGAGGCAAAGACAAAGATTATCTTGCACCTATTGATTAGAAGTATTTTAGTATTGTATGTGGTGATTTTGTAAATAATAAAAATATCACTTGTGGTTGTATTTTGAAACACAATCGTTGTAATTTTTCTTGTTTTTAAGAACTGATGAGGGAAGCTGTAGGATAGCTGTCTGTGCTGTGTACACAGCTGGACTACTGCAGTTATTTTTATGATCCTAGCACAAATACTATTCACAATCAAGGAATCTTTTTGTATTATGGGTAATTAACAAAAAAGGTTGCTTTTATTTGCCACGACAGAGTAAAAAATATAAAAATAAACAAAAAACAGATCTCTAGGCCAAAGACAAGAGGCACACAGCATATATATTGGGGAGAGGATTGTTTCCCTTGACCATAGAGCATCTGGCTAAGGAACAACTGATGCTGACAGCTGGACTGACAGCCAGCATATGTCTCTTTCTTTATTTCAGCTCAGCTCAAACAATGGAGTGGAAGGGCTGGGGCTGCTTTGTTTTGAAGGTAGACCTAATAGCTTGTGACTTCAGAAAAGAACCCCTATTCTTTTGGAGAGCATGAAGAGCAATTAGCTCCTCTCTGATCCTAGCCTGAAGAGCTTGGACCCGCTGCTGCCACAAAAACTCAATGGTCTATTCTTATTCATGCCTATTTTTGCTGTTTAGTTTTAGTTAAAGCTGCAGGATCCAGAGTTCTTAATACGAACCTACTTAATGGTCATATAAACTACAGGTCAAAATTGATAAAGCATTGGTTGTAAAATATTTCGGAAGTTTCACATCTAACCTACAGCCAAAAAAAAAAAAAAAAAATGTAGAAAGAGCATGTGCTCAGTGGCGCCATGCGCCAAGCACGTGTGCTTTGTTTTGCGACGCGATGACGCCACGCGCATAGCACAGGAAGTGATTTGCATTTCAGATAAGTAAACCCTATGAAGTAAACACGCCGTCTGTTCGGGTCTGGTGCAAAAGGGATTCTTTGTACGTATAAGTATAATGTATTTTACAATGTAAGGTTGAACCTTTTCGTGTGTGTGCGCGTGTGTGTTTTACAGAAATGGGAGTGAAAGGTCTTCAGAGTTTCATGGAGCGCTGCTGTCCTGAAGTGTGCGTGACTGTAAACCTAAGGGAATTGGCAAAACAACACGCATCTGCACACAACCAGAAATGTTGAGTGTCTTCTATGTACAGTATATATTACTGACATTTATACTGTCTTGTTTTCAATTACTTATAATTGTTGTAAATAAACATAAATGTATCCATGTTTGAAATAAAAATAACGGCAACAGTAATAATTTGAACTCCTGTAAATTATGTTTTCCCTTTTCCATGACATGTACTGTCATATGTAGTTCCCGCACTGGTCGTAGATGGTATGGCCTGCCTGCGTCACTGGTACTCCTGTAAATGTTGGGTGTCTGGAGGGCAGTGGAAAGAGTATATAGACATCCTGAAAAGCTGGGTTGAAGCTTTTGCTGCTGCAGGCATCAGATTAGTATTTTTCTTTGATGGAGTTGTGGAGGAGCGAAAGAGAATGTCATGGGTAAATTCTGTCTAAACGCTGTTAATTTAGATTAGGTCTCCCTCGCATTTATTAGTTCTGATTTTTGTGTTTTGTTTTTCACAGATAAAAATGAGGCATAGAGTAAATGGTGATGTCTGTAAAATATTCACCCATATTAAAGCCTATGGTGAGCAGCCAGGTGAACAGATGTTTGTTTTGCCCTCTGGTCTTGCAACATTTACTAGATTTGCCCTTAAGTGAGTACATTTATTATTCCATTCATTGTTTATCATTATAGATTAATTTACCTTTTGCTTCTGATTGTTAAGATCATTGGGGCAGGAAGTATTTTGTTCAACAAGGGAAGCTGACTATGAGATTTGCAGCTATGCACGTGAGCACAACTGCATGGGCATACTGGGACAAGACACAGACTTGATTATATTTGACAGGTCGGTTGAAGCCTATGTTAACAGTAAAAAAAAAAAAACCCTACTAACCAGCTAAAAATGCCGTTTTTCTTTTAGTGCGCCATATCTGTCTTCTGCAAAGTTAAATATAGACACACTCACAACAATGCTATATGATAGAAAGAGACTCTGCCAGGTTCTTGGATTGGAGGTTTTTCATTTACCTTTATTAGCTTGCCTCCTCGGTAATGATGTTGTGTCTGAGGAGAGAATGCAGCATATCCGAAAAGAAGCCTTGGCAAAATACAGGTTTTTATAATGATATAGATTTGTCCTTTCAAATGTCTGTTGAAATGTATGCATTTTAGTGTATTTCTTAAATCCAATGTATGTTCTCCCATAGACAACTTAATTTTCCACCCTATACTGGTTCGGAGCAAGGACAAATGATATTTGCAGTCTCCCAGTTAGTGCGCACCTGCTCAGAAAGTCATGAAGACATTATTCCACGTTTTTTAAAGATGATACCAGAATACAAAGAACTATTGGAGAGCGGTATTCAATCATACTTACTGTGTGAACAAACAAAACATCTGTCTCATGACACCACAGACCACCCTGCTGCTGTTTATCAAAAATATGTTAGTCCAGCCATATTACAGGTACAATTTGTCAATTTTTATTTATATGAATGCTTTTGTCACATTGTCTAAATATGTTTTTGTGTGGTTTCTCCCAGGCATGTAGAGAGAAACATGTAGCAGCAGAGGGATTCATGGTTTACTCTGTTGTGTCTGAGGGAGTGGTTGAATGTAGTAACAGTCTCGAGGACGATGCAGAAACAGAGTTACTGCCACAAGCTCTCGTTTATAAACCATGTAGACAGAGAATGTATGGAATTCTTCTGATGCAGGATTTTAATGGTACGAACAAACACCAAATGAATAATATTGATAATTCTGTATGGGGTTCTAACTAGACGTAACTTAAACAAATTTGAACAAAAAATTACCTACCAAGCCCTTTATATGAGCAAAAACACACCCCCCCTCCCATATTTACTGCTGCAGCTTGCTGCTCGTTTGACTTTTTAGACAATTTTGTCCAAAAGCTTTTATAATACACACTTTTTGCATAAATCCCCATGTAGATTAGAATGTATGGTTTGTACTCTCTGTCCCTGGAAGTATACAAATCATGTACCATTTCCAAATAAGTAATACGTGTGCTGCATTAACATCTTTGTCTTCATAGTTGTCGATGTAAGTCCACCACCAATTAAGGAATGGTTTGTCTATCCACAAAAACACCTGAAAGAGCCTGAAATGGTTCCTCCAGTTCCACTTAACACACAATGTATGCGAAATGGTGACATGCTTTATTATTTTGTGTAATTGACCTATTTCCAAATGTGTATTATGTAGATGATCACCCTGGACTGGACATGTTATGGTTCGGGAAAAATAAGGAAGTTTCTACTCTACGCCGAGCATGCTTTCTGGCCATTCTTGATCTTTCTGAATTTACAGAGTTGTATGAAATGACAGAGGAGCACCTTTTTGTCACATTATGTCTAGTGACTTACATAGCTCTACAGGTAACATAATATTTAAATACCTTTGAGACCTTTGCATGTGTGTGATGTCATTACACAAAGCCACAAAACAGATATGAGCCTGATGCAGCCTTAAATTAAAATATTGATTGAATGAGAACATAATGCATTGTTCTGCTTTGTGTCAATACAGAATTAAAAGGTTTGGTGTATTATGTAACATTGGCAATAACTCAACAATATGTCTTGAGTTTTGTCAACATTTTTGTGGAGTCAAATGTTAGCTGCTGTTTGTAAAGGCATTATGAAGGCCATTATCACCTGCTGAGAACTAGTTTCACCACAGACACTGTTCTTTGTAATCTCTTATTTAAACAAAGTACTCTGATGGACAAGGCCTCGCATATTTAAGCGTGTTGTTTGCCCAATTTTATACTCTAAAAGGCTTTGGTAGGAGCTAGAAAAGTGAAGACTGACTTTCAAATGCAGTGATTGACTCTTGGAGATAGTAATTCAAATGAGTTTCAGTCTGATGGTCAGGCCAGACAGTTTAGGCTGAAGACAGTAGCTGTTGTCGTCTGATCACTGCTGCATTCAAAGCCCAAACACTCATCTATTTAAATCTCACTTGAAGCTTGTTTGTTTTGAACATATTGCTGAGTATAGTCTTGTTTTTGCTTTCAGTATTTTCTTTTTCTTTTGTTGCGCAGAAAGCAGACAAAACAAACTGTCCCGCATCAAATACACATCGATATTTTGTTGAAATTGGTTAACTCTATGCATGTTTTGCATCAGGTAAAGACACTGTCTCAAGAGGATGTGGACGCATACCTGAGCCAGGCTGTGTGCTTGGCACAGAAATCTCCTCAGGAGCTCCAGCAAATTAAGGTCAGCCACAATTTTATAAAAAACAATTGGTCTGAACTTGTTGGCGTCTATAAGCCATTGTTTATGCTGATGGAGATGGTTAATATTATAGTTACATTGACTTCATCAATTTGCGACTCTTCACCAATTTGCAAAATATACTTGGTTTTAATTGTGCATTCAGCCTTCTCTGGCCTCTTAAGGAAATTGACTGTTTTAGCACCATTTACTTTTACAACTTAATTACAATACTTATGTTTAGTAATTTGTATTTTTGCTTTTTTATCTGCACAATAATTAGTACTGGGCCGTGATTTAAGTGTATGAGAGCGAGCTTAATTAGTGTATGGAAAGGTTTGCATATAAACATGGTGACAGTGTCTACCTAAACATTTGATGAATGGAACAAATCTAAATGTATGCAGGACATTTATATTTAACTTGTTGCAACACTCCTCCCCTCAGACTGTGTGTGCTGAATTTGTCTGTGTATTTGGTGAAACAAGGAGTGTGGCGACAGTCGCCTGTCTGCCCTGGCGCTCACCACATGGACCTATTTACACCAGCCCCCTCCACTCCACTGGACACACACGCACATCCATCCCTTTTCTCTCAACTTACAACACTTCCAGTCTCTTTCTTTTCTCGCGTGTGTTTGTGGGCTCCAGGTTTTGCTGCTGGCTCATTGTTTTCTGCAGGTGAAGCTGTGTTTGACTGGAGGCAGGTGGTTGGCAGGCCTAAGTGTGTCTATGTTATCTGTGCTATCTGCAGCGACAGGTGAGGGCCACACATCTGCCTGCTGTTGGCCTCTGCTGTCATTACTCTCAGCTCACAGGCTGCTTACCGACGAGCAGCCTGTGAGCTTTGGAAACAAAAACCTAAAAATGAAACTTTTAAACCCGTGCTTATCATTCGGCTACTGGTACCTACTCAAAACTCAATAACTTTGAACACCCCTATATTCTACAGTAGTACTTCAGAAAGACATACAGTCCATGTATATTGGGACATCAACACAATTCTCATATTCTTATACATCACCACATTGGATGGAAATGCGCTTTACCTGGAGATTTTCAGCTTTAATGTTAGGGTACATCCAAATAACAAATTCACCCAAACGTGTAAGAATGTTACAAATATTTACAGTGCCTTCTACTTTTGGAAGGTCCTACAGTATTGTGACAGTTGGCTGTTTTATGGACAGTTGTGTGTAATGTACGTAATTGTCTTGTCTAACGTAATATAAGCAGATAAATCACTATCAGTTAAGCAAGTCACCAGTCGGCTGAAAAGCAAAACTAATCCATCAGAGAAATGGAAAGAAAATGCTACATCCATTGTAGTTTTGTATATTTGAGTCATCTATGGTGCTCTTGTATTGCTGGACTTTTTTAATATTGGTAGCTTGAACTGATATCCTTGTATTTATTGGTAATGTGACTGCCGACAAAAATAATTTTCAAACAGTACTATCAGGCCAAATGCTTCAAAACTCACTCACAGTGCAGATGTATTGTGTTGAATTGTGTTGATGTCCCACTATACAATTAAATGTTTTTGACCAGCAGGTGAATAGCGGTCATTTAAACGCGTTATTTAATTTACCAAAAAGATCATTGATGGTGTTTTTTGTCTCAGTTGCCCTTCTTGTCCAGCCGGGGTGTACAGCTGGGATGTTTGTATGTGCGTGGTCTCAGTTATCTGCTGGGTGCAAACTGTACCAGCGGAGGGGCACTTTCTTCTGCTGCCCTGATGCCCTGGAACAGCTTTGATGGGCAGTTGTTCCAGTCAAAGTATCTCCTGGCTCATAGTGGTGTGGAAGACATGGTGCTGCTCCTGGACAATGATGTGAGTGAAGTTGTTATTATAAAAGTGGTTATTTCTTACACTTTTTTGTTCCCCTAAATTAACTTTTTGATTTAACACCATATCATCCTTGGTATCAAATTTGCAGCCCGTGGGCAATTTGCGGCCCCCAAAAAGATATTTTATGGCCCAAGAAAACAACCAGGCCATTTATATTATCATAAACCTTGAACCCTGAGAGCAATAAGCAATAATTCAAAAAAAAAATATTAAATCCAGTCTACAATACAAAGCCTTATTGCTTTTTTTTGTTCATATAAATTCTTATTAGACTCGTATTCAAAGTAATTATTAAAAGTCACAGATACAATGAACTATAAAACAGTCCAAAGCATTTTTTTGATTATTTTTATTTTTTTTCCTGTTTCAAGCCCAAACGTTTACTTTCTCTAATGTTATTGATAAAGAATGAAAAGATGCTGCAGTTCGACATGTAGCGGCATATTATATTTATCCTGGAGCTAAACTTAGTGTGCAAAGCAAAGGGCATGTGCAGTTTTGAGCTTTGTTTCTATCTCTGTGTGTCTATATATCCGTTTGCGCTGATGTTCATATGTTTTACACAAACACATGATAAATATACCTCTTAATGCGGCCCAGCTTCACCTAGACTCAACCTCATAGATAGATAAATACTTCATTGATCCCCGAGAAATTCAGGTGTCTAGTAGAGACCTGAAAAAGAGCTAACAATAGTAGAAACTTGCAACAGCACTTTAGCTCAGCGTACATCGGACTGGCAACTGATTATATCCGTCGCATATGAGTTGCTGCCCCGCACACATCGACAATCTGACGAAAACGGGCAACTCCCAGTATCAGACCAGTCTCTGGAATAACAGCGCGTACATCGACAGCAACTGGCCTCAACAACAGTGTGTTTCTGACATAAACTGTTGCGGGCTCGCAATACACGCAATACACACACGTTGTCGGAGCGGCGCATGGAGCGCGCACATCGGGTCATATCTCCGAAACTGAGGACAACTAGTTGCCGAAAAGTAGAACACGGGCAACTGACTGAAACTGGAGACCGACTGTTCATCTCCAGTTGTAAGAGCGCGCACATCGACCGATTTCAGCAACTGATCATCTCCCACCGTCTCCTCTCAGTTGCCAAAAGCCGCCTTGCAACTAGTTGTCCCCAGTTTCTCTGTCGATGTACGCTAGGCTTTTAGGTCACAGCAGCAGAGATGGAGAAGCCACTGGTGATGAGCTGGTTCCTGTCCTCTGGTTGATGTATGCAGAGTCTGCTTGGTTTGGACCTTTTTCTTTGCTCTGGTCCAGAGTAAAATGCTAAATGCTTCATTAGCATTTTTCAAAATAAATAGCATTCTTCCAGTGGATTTACACTTGATCTGCTTGGTTCGGAGCGTGAATCCTCTCTGCTCTGGTCTGGATCAGTGTAAAACCATGAACACTACTGTAGTAACAAGATAAGATAAGATAGACTTCATTGATCTCACACTGGATAAACATTTACAGGTTGAAAAGAGCAATAAAAATAAAACTGATAAAGCACAAAATAACAACTTTCAGAGCTACTTTGGACTTGCTGCCGTTTCCAGTACATTCAAAAGTAAATGGCGGCCCCCAGATACATTTAGTTTGAGACCCCTGAAAATATGGTTAGTGAAGGTAAATTGTTTTTTACTGCTTACAATTATTACAATACAAGATTAATATTGATATTACTGTAGTACAGGGAATTCAGTTGTTCCTACTCTTTGCCTCAGGGCTCCTGTTTGAATGTCTTTCATCACTTGAGGAACAAAGTTCAGGAGGTTTGTCTAAAGAGAGGAAGAACACTGCAGTCCTGTCCCAGACGTCACACTGTACAAAGTGCCAAAGTGGAGCATCACATGGGTGAGTGATGTGTTTGATAATGAGGGGCACGGAGAAGAAGCTTGACATAATCGTGTTTGACAATATTAAAAAAGTGAAGTGGCAGAGTGATTGGAGCTACTCGAGAAAAAAATAATAGATAATCTGACCAATGCACTGGGCAGGAGCAGGTGAGGCTGAAGTTGCAGGAGTTACACCACACAGACACTAAACCTAAAAATTAAAATATAATATAATAAATACAATATAAGTAAAATGCATAGACACATGATTAAATGCCGCCAGGTTAAGAAAAGCCTTTTTTCTGATAATTGGGGATATCTGTTTTTGCGTCTTTTTAAAAACAAAAATATAAAACAAAAAGGCCGGAAAAAAAAGGTAGGGAGCTAAGTTATGTACACACTCCTCTTATCATCAATACTATATTAAGTTACTAAAATATTGATTGAAAATGATATCGGGGACCTCTAAAAATGATCTTCCAGGCCACACTTGGCCCATGAGCCTTGTGTTTGACACATGTGCTGTAACCAGTTCCATGTGTGCTGTAGCCTTGAGCAACACTTGGCGAGTAGACTTGCTTTGTCAGTCTTCTAGTAATGGTAGGTTCTGTTTATAGGGTGGGAGAGCTCTATTTTAAGACTCACAACAAGACTGATTAAAGACCACTGTGTCTTGACTCCTGCTCTGCTGCCTTTGTTACTCCTCACCCTTTATCTCCGGTTTCCTTCTTTTACGACATCTTTGTACACGGTCCATGTTGACTTTGGAATTAAATCGTTTCCCACACCTACTCATGAATATGATTTGTTCTGTATTGATGCACAAACCAGGATTGTTAAACACCAGTATCTTCATGTAACACATTCACATACAAATCTTCTGCCAGTATTACTGACAATTGCTGCATTGCATGTTTGGGGGAGAGGCTGAGATTTGCGCCGAGCTGTCTGCGCGCTGCCCAAGTCAACCCCTGTGGGACTCTTGTTTAATAGACGGATCCCTCGCTGTACCTCAGACACAGACACCCGTCATTACTGCCGATCCATGTGTGTCTGCGAGAGCCAGAGAGAGTGCGGGAGAGCAGTGGTGGCGCTATGTGGTATCACGGAGGGCCCAGTTTGGTTTTTGTTTGGAATCAGGCCTGATGTTTAGTCTCCTCAGCAAATATCTTCTTTGCCCGCTTGCTCTCGCAACTACCCCTTAACTGGGAATCCATCATAACTGTCATTTTGTGTCTCCTCCAATTTGTTTCGTTTCAATTCAAAGGGAAGAAAAGAAGCAACTTTAAACCCTTGTTGTATTAAGAGAGCTTATGAAGTAAATTCTGTTTTTGAACTGCCTTTTTTGTTAGTTACTCTAGACTACAGTTTAAAGATTGTACTGCAGCTTTTAAAGGAATTTATTGAAGTGCATGTTACATTACCTGCTTACCTTTTTTGTGGGACAGAACATGTGGGAATTAAATGTTAAAAACACATACTAAACAAGAAAAGTACTTGTAGAGTAAATCTCAGGCTTGCGCCATTTTTTACTTTGTCATTAACAGGTAATTTATCTTCACCAATGTCATATTTGCTGCTCCAACTGTTTTAATGCATTGTTGTCAACCTGTCACATGCATTGCTTTTTTGCAGCTGTGGGAAATCAGTCAGAGCAGCGAGGATCATACCACAGTGCAGAAAGATGGAGGGGCAGAGGAGAGGCGAAAAGAAGAGAGCACACATTTGGAAACTCCTACAGAGGAAGACACAGCCGAGGAATCTACCCCTCAACTTCATACCATCCAGACTCACACTCACAACAATATAGTGACAGAGAGGTTCCTACCAATAGAATAAACTCCAGGGGTCGTTTCAGAAGCAAATACCATCTCGCGCCAAGGTGTATATGTGTTTTAATATGTAAAACTCACTCAAATAGACAAAAATCACAGGCTTCTGCTGTGATATTGTCAGCATTGATTTTAATCTTTGTTTTTTTTTATTATAGGTGGTCACGGCCTCCTGCTCCTTGAGTCTACCTGACAAAACAGTTTCAAAGCATCCAAATTGTGAAGAGTGGAGAAGTTGTGGTGGTTGGAATAGTCTCTCATGTCTTGTCCAGGTTTGTTTGTCCAAGAGATCAACTGTGATGTTCGGTCAACCATGGTGTTAATTTGGCTTTGATGAAAGAAACATTTAATATGAGACGATTCCCTAAGTAAACTTGAAGCCTGTACAACTAATCCACATATCCATTTCAAAGTCCGTTTTTTTTGTGTCTTTCTGTGTGAATAAAGCTGCATGTAATTGAAAAGTCATGTTTATACAGGGCCACAAACTTTGATAATAATGGTTTAGCTACAAAGAGAGACTTCATGAGATTTACTAGAGCCTGTAATTTGAGAACAACTTTGGTGTGTCGACAAATTAGGAGCGCTTAGACTGTGGTTTCAAATAAATAATGCAAAGTGAACTATCAAATGGATACATTACTTTTTTGTTTCTTTTTCTGCTTTTATGCACTTAAAGCGGCAGTAAGACATGTCATTTAAGAATAAAAGTCATACAATCTTTTATCTAGTTTAGATGGAGATAGAAGATCATACCAGTTGGAAGTCACAAAAGACACTGGCAACTCAACTTCTGATGGGATACTTTCAAAATTACTTGTAAAAACTTGGCTTAAGAACCAAAATATAAAGTAAATTATACTGGAATATCTATAAAAGTGGATTTTAATTTGTACTTGTTGACGTTTTTGCAGTGGAAAAACCTGCAATCAGTGGATATAATGTGAAATTAAAATCTTTGAAGGAATGTCATGTTTATGGACACTCAACTAGAGAACCCTCAACCTGTGTTCCCAAAAGTTCCCACACCTAAATATAAAATCAGAGATTTGGAGAACTTGAGGAGCTTTACGTGTGTGGTAAAATCTCTACTCTTGGGATGGGTTAGAATATCACAGGGACCATACACAATAGCGTCTCAATTACATCAGCGCTTTAACATAATAGTTTGTTATTGTTTTCTGAGACAGTGTTTTCCCTGAAACATGTATTTCCTTATGACGGGGTAAAAGGGATAATAATTGACCAGTTGTTGATTATTATAGTCACATGTAGAGTCTTTTCTGGTCCTTTCTAGTGGTGTTCGACCACAGCCTCCACTCCCAGTGCGTCCTTGAGCAGCAGCAGACCCAGAGAGGGACCAGGACTGTGATTGTGCAGTTAGTCAGTGGTGAGTGAGGAGGGTGTGGTGTGGGTGGGGTACATGGCTCAGGTTCTGTTGCCCCTACAGCATAAAAACAATAACAGAAGGACGTGTTTAGTGGTAATAAAAGAACCAAAGCGAACTGAGAGATTTAACAATTACCAAAGCCATTTAACAAACTGTTGCAAATGAGAAGTCAAAGCACACACAGGACTGGCGCTTCGCATTAAAGTCTTAAATTAAGTGAAATTTTACTGCATCCACAGAGCAAATTATTTTCTAGTGAGCAGTTAAGATGGGAGGGGTCCTTCTAATAAAAAAACAATAGAGTTGATGTTTATTATGGAATCAAATGAAAGTACGCGAGTGACACGCAACAACCCAATGATTATATATCTAGTGTTACGTTTGCATATTGTTGACATCACATCATTCACAGAACGACAGTTAAATGTGGGAGTTTAAATTACTTGTTTTATTTCGCTGTAGCTCGTATTTATAGAGGCACGCACTCTGACACAGGCATCCCAAAATACTCCACAGCCAGAGAGACAAATATATATGTCCCGTTTTCACTGCAAGTCTATAAATATGGACTACTATATTTTTTTCCAAGCCCAAAACATAGAAATGAACAGCTTTTCAGACTGTGGGTACTTACTGGCTATGCGTTTGGGTTTGAACCACATTGTGACCGGATTGACCAAGTTAGGGCAATTGACAGAATGCAAGTGCGCACCGCAAGAATACAGTGTTTTCCCTTTGCTTGTTACAAAATGTAGTTCCTGGGGGGATAAGAAGTGTGAATACAAAAACTATATGTTTTTGTATTCAATGAAGACAAAATGTAATGTGACTTGTTCATATAATTTTACTTTAAATGTAAATAAAATACATGTGCACTTTATTGTCCCCATAGGGAAATTTGTCTTCTGCATTTGACCCTTCCTGAAGCCACTAAGGCTCACGTCAGGAGCAGTGGTCGCCGTAGTAAAACAGTGCCCGGGGACCAATCTCCAGATGTTGATACTCTTAGTCAGGACTACCGCAGCTGGAGGATTCTTTAGCTATTGTGCATATTTTTAGTGGTAGGGGAAACCGGAGCACCCAGAGAAAACCTACGCAGACACGGGGAGAACACGCAAACCCCACTCATTCCGACCGGGATTCGAACCCAGGACGTTCTTGCTGAGAGGCAAGAGTGCCACTCTTGCCGTGTTATTCGAAAAAACTTCTGTTGCGACAAACACATATCACTTATGAAAAAGAAAGTTAGGTACCCCAGGTTTGTGAAGTGTTCATGAGTCCAACTGCAGAGGGAGAATGGTAAGAAGTGAAAAGAGTCACGTCAAATGCCCTCTTTGATTTTACTTCGCTCTAAGACCTTAAAAACAGTCAAATCAAATAAAAGCAGAATCACGTAAACCCAAAAATAACAATAAAAAACAAAGTTTTTTTTAAAGCCATGGGATAAAAATGAGTCTTAAGACTTGAAACTGTGCTGTTTTTGGGGCTAGAGCCCTCCATATAGGGTCAGAATCATAAATACAAATGCCTCAGTCACTTTCAGTCACAGTCAAATCTTCTGGCATATATTATGTATGCTTTAAAGACCTCTTTTTGACTTCATCACTAGATCAACTTAAGGCCGAAAAGATCTGCCTGAACATCTTTGCTCCTGTTTGATTTGTCATGTTACAATCTGGTGCCTTGTGTCCATGTTGCCCGTTGCTCTTTTGCCTAACCCCTGCCCCCCTTTCTCCTCTCACTACACTTTTTCTCTCCCTCCTCCTCCTCCTCTTCCTCTCCTCTTCCTCTCTCTTATCTGAATGCGCTGTGACTAGTGGGACATATTCTGCTGGTTGTTCAATGCCCTCCCTTGGAGCGCGAGAGCATCCACGGGTGTGTGTTTGTGCGCCGGGCCTTGTGTGTTCATTGAAACGTATGCCTCCTGTTGCACATCGGCCATCTGTTCGCTCAATGGGCTGATGAAGTGCTGCCGTCACCATGGAAACGGGCCCATTCAGTCAGGGAGCCGTCAACCAACCCCTGGCTCTGTGCTGTGCGGCGTGTTTGTATGTTTATGTTTAGGAATTAGCGGCAGACTGGAGGAATTCCCACATGTTGATCCAACGCGGGAAACTTACAGAACGGGCTCAGAATATTCAATTTCAACTTAATGTCTGTTTAAAGGAATTAGAAGTGTACTGTAAGATGAGAGATTTATGTTGGATTGAGTTGCAGTGTGAATTAAGTTGCAAAATCGTGGTATTCATTTATTTAAAGCTGGAGTCACTTTGTTTGCTTCATAAATGACGTGTAGTTTCCAAAAGAGAGAGTCTTGTAAATGTAAAATGTGAAAAACTCAGTCACATAATGTTGTCTTTATCTCATTAGAAAACATATTTTACATACTTGTCAGAAACCTGTTGGGCTGGGAGCTGATTGGTTGAGTGAGGTTGGGAAAAGCTGCTCCAAAGATGTGACAAAAACTAAAAATACATGAATGCAACAAAACTAGTGATAGAACCAAATTGGTTTACAGCGAGCAACTAGTGGCATTGTATTAGTTAGTTCCTTTTTCGTTGGTTGAAAGTTAGCCCAGCTTTAAGGACACAAGTCAAGACAGTGGATGCACTTAGCTAAGATGATAATAAAAAGTGGAAATATATGAGGAAATACAGTACATGGAGCTATATCAACATTAACACATTAACATAAACACTAAACACAAGTAATTGGCCAATGTACTGTACTTATATGGTGTATTTTCAGCATCACAGAGTCTGAATTGAATTCCAGGTTCTTTTATCCTCAAACAGTTCCCACGAGCTGCAGGGCAAATAAAGTAACATCCTCATATTATGGGGTAATACTCATCCCCCCTGGCCCATCCCACTCACAAACAGCAGCAAGGCAACACTGAATGAATATTGTGTTTCAACTGTTTCCAACCACTGCTCTATTCATCTGGCCTCGCACACGAGCACCCAGCGGCCCCACCCACACACACCCAGTGCAGTTGTCTGCTGGCCATATGTCAGCCCATTTCTCCAGAGACACCTCTCCCGGGACCCCTACTCTATTGTATATACATATATTTATTTATATGTGGAGGTGTACTGTGTGTTTACGGACCATCTCTCATCGCTCCTCGCATCACTCACTCGTATGACTTGTTTGTCCAGCTGACCTCTCAATGCTTTATTTGAATCCAATTATCATATTTTTTGTGTTTCGTGGTTCAGTAATTTGTGCTTTCCAATGCCTTTTTGGGCTCAGCAGTGATGGAAAGATTACTGATTTGTGAAACTAGAGGTAAAACTTGAACACATTTTATAGCAGTTGAGAATATATGTACTTTTTTTAAGCTGGGGTACGTAACTTTAAAACCACAACAACAACAAAAATGTAAGAATGCAATGAGGTCCATCAAACTTCTTCCTCACTCACAAAACAGTTTGGATCAAATGCACGTATTTTGGCCTCTATCACACAATTGTAAGTGTCCAGGAATTTAAGCTTAGGTGTGAAACATTCAAACCACAAAAATTTTAAATATTTTTTTAAATCCCTCTCTGTCACATGGAAAAGTTAAAAATAAAAGACTACCCTCACCAATCAGCTCTCTGCCCAAAGAGGCAAATAGTGACACACAGGGCTCTTTCTTACATGTATACAAAAAGACAACAGCACAGGGTCTATTTTTCACCAAATGTTACTTTTCCACGACTCTATCTGTTGGGACAAACAAACATGTATTTAAGAAAGAAAGTTGGGTACTCCAGGTTTTTTGTTTGTTTGCATTTGAACATATCCT